GGGTGTGGCGGCTGTCTGCATGTGCCCCCCATGCCACCTGGAAAATACGGGGCTAGGTTCTAGTCTGACATTTAAGGTTGGAAATTCGTAATTAATTTATTGAATGCGCTCGCTGGCTCTCAGTTTCAGTTTCAGTTTCGATAGGTGCTGTATGCATTCCGGGTGTGTTCTGCTCCTTGGAGGTTGTAAAATTTTAATGTCCACTTCATTATCTCGACTTGAAAATCTAATTACCAAAAGTGACTGCAGTAATGTGTCTGCCTCTCTCACTCGGTCTCTCTTGGTCTCTCTTCGTCTCTTTTAGTGTATCTGTATCTATATCTCTGTGATGTCCGTTGCTCTTCAGTTTCCTTTTTCAGGTTCGTTCTGTTGACAGTAGCTGGCCGGTGTGCCGGTGAGCAGGTCATTCTTGCAGCTGACGCCACCAGAGTGGCCAAAAGTCAACAATTTTATTTTTTATATATACTTTTTTTTTTCGGTGCTCAATTAAAGACCAAAAACTTTGGTTCCGACGGTGAATTGGCCCCGGCCGGCCCGGCCTTTTATTATCTTGATGAGCGGCCAAACTATTTTACGAGCTCAACAACAAGTTAATTAGCCATTGGCATTAATGCCCCACAGTGGCGACTCCAGCGGCTTTGGCTTCGGCTTCGTTTGCCAGTTGGTTTTGAAACAACAATTTTATGTTGTCAAATGGATTTTGACGGTCTTTCCGCTCACCCTGTTTCTTCCTCTCTCTCTCTCTCTTTGTTTGTCTCCGGCCTACTTCCTATCATTAATGAAGACGCCCATACCGCTTTGGGTTTCCATCTTCATCAGAGTCGCCAGTTATTCGGTCTGTCTTTTAATGCGCTTCCCAGGGGGGGATAATATAATTTTTCGCAACAAGGAAAGCATTTCCGTTGGCTATAAAAACATTTGTTTTTGTTTCTTTGATCTGCAATCTACAGCAGGAAATGCATTCAGCAGATATAATTATTAATTCCAGGAAGATTCGGTATCAATACGGTTCAGTATAAATATATAAAATACAGGAAATTTTCCCACTTTTAAATATACACAAAAAAATGAAAAAATATGGATCAGTAAGCCCGATAAATGATCGATAAACCTTGAAGGCTCTGAAGAGTTTTCGCACTTGGAATCTTTGGGAAGAATGTTTTTTTCCCCCTTTTCCTTCGAATCTTTCTGGTCTCTGGGGCTATGCAAAAACTAAATATATTTCTCTGTTTGTTTGTTCAATGATTATAATTAGATGTGTGCGTAGACCTGCCCCAGACACGACTGTGCTGTCATCTTAATTACCATCAACTCGGAGGCAGCTCCAAAGCGGAGTCGGTGGCAGGGGCAGAGGTAGAGAGGTAGAGGCAGAGTCTGAGAGTCACATCATGAGAGCGTGTGAACATTTTGTGTGTGTGTTTTGGTGTCGTTTCCGTCGTTGCGCACCTGCACGCCAACAACAGCAAAAAAATAAAATAAAATAAAAATGAAAATGATAAATGAAATCAACGAAAAATTGTTCGCTCAATGTGCAAATAATTTTTAATTAAATGGCAATTGCGCATACGCCGCGTGTCCCCAAAGTGAGGGGACAGACAGACAGCCGGGACAGGAGTGGCAGGAGGGGACGGCGTGACAGTTCGCGATGGTAGATAAATAAATGGCCAGACAGCCGCCGCGACACAGCTGTTGGCGACGTGTTGCAATTGATGTTGCTGCAGCATTTAGATGGGCGGAGGGCGGTAGGGAGGCATAGCGGGAGGGTGGCCAATTGTACGAGTAATTTGCCTGTGCCGCTTATTGAGCCGCGATGTGATTTGCCAGGCAACACCTCTCACAATTGTTGCGCTGGGGGCCCAGAGGCCAAAAGTCAAGCACGATCCGCGGGCGGAGACAAGGCACTCTCGATCGATTGAAAATGACAGCGTTTAAAACAAACGGCGGGGCCATCCAACAAATTAAACTTGCCCAAAAACAAAACAACAACAAAAAGGAGAAGGAAACCCCCCGAAGGGAAACAGAGAAAAGGGAGATATTAGACGACTAAAAGATACCCATTATTCGGATTTAATGTGGAGTAAAAGATGTAGCAAAGATAATTTCTTACAGCTGGCGATTGATATTTCGTTTTGTTCCCCATTAATAAAGCTATCGGGCTGCCTGGGCTGTTGGGCGAGTAATCAATATGCCCTTTCTTTACTGTAACAACTCCCTAGGTATTTAAATTCACGATAAAAAAATCTTTATATAAAATGCGTTACGACAACGCCCCCACAATATCAATTTGTGTGTGTGTTTGCCTCTGATTGAAGCCAACAACTGCTGCTGCGGCGAGCGGCAACAAGTCCATTCGTTGTTTTTGTTGCTGTTGCTGTTGCCGTTGCTGTCTGTCGCTTTCGATGATGTTGCATTAAATTGTGTGCCCCGCTGTGTGCCCTGCGTGGGGGGAAGATACAAAAATTAAGCAGAAACAGAAACGAAATCGAAAAAAAAAACCAAAACAAAACAAAAGCAAAACAAATCAAGCCCCTCTGACAAACTTTGACCCCAAAAAAAAAATGCACTGCGCCAATGGGTCGGGAAGTGAAAGGGTTTGGCATAGAAGAGGAGGCAGAGTGGGAAGTGGAGAAGTACTTGGAGCGGGAGGGAGTCGTGACGGTAGGAGCAGCAGCAGCAGCAATGTTTATTGCTGGCATTTAAGTTGCTTATAAAAATGTAATATGTCTTTGACGGATTTATTGGGCAAGTTTTTTTTTTATTTGGAAGCTGATGACATATGAGAAACTTGGATATTGGAAATTGGTAATAAAATGTGGTAACAATTTTTAAGAGTTCTTCAAGTATTAAAAAATAAAGAAATTGGAAATTTTGGGATTTGAATTTGAAGCCCAAAAGTTTGGGCAATAAAAATTGAAAATTAAAAAAATGAAAAATATTTCATCAACAAATGATCGATAAATTGTTGATAAATTATAGACAGCATCAATAAATGACATAACATCACAGACATGATAGATGTGATCGATAACAGCCATAAATGATCGAAACAGCGATATACTCCCCATATAAACTACTATAATCTATCGATAATAATCGATATATTTTTTAGTTAATCGTTAAAAGTCACATGTCCTTTGCGTCGTTTGGTCACGTGTCATTCAACAGTTTTCCATGAAATTGATCATGTCCTTTCGCTTATGGGAAATGTGTAAGCCCACTTAACGTCATTTGAATGTGCGCCCCAGTGGAACGCGGGATAAATAGTAAATAATACGCTATATACACATGTATGTAAAAGTATATCTATTTACCGTCCCTAATTGATTCCTCGAACTTTCGAAATTCACTTTCACAGCAATTTGCGATTGAATTTCAAGTTGCCGCATAAAAGCCAGTAAAAGTTCAATTCATGACATTTGGCCGACAGTTTTATTGGAGAATAATTGGTCATCATTGGGGGGCTATTTGTACGAGAGGCCGGTACCCTATACACCGTACAGCGTAACACATCGACAAACCCATCCATGATTGATCTATTCAATGCCAAAATGAAAATGGAAACAAAACAGCTGCCAGCCCCCAGACAACAGGCAACAGAGACATAGAGCCATAGAGACAGATAGAAGAAAAAAGAAAACAAGAAATCAGCTTAGTCACATGGGTTGGGGTTGGGGTGGGGCGTTGGGCATGTGGCATGGTGTAGACTGACGACGGCAAAACACACATAAATTATATGATATTGGTTGTCCTCTTCTCCAGAAGTTGTGTGTGTGTGGTGTGGGTGAGTGTAAAGATTGGGCTGGGCCTTGAGGGGATTATGGCAACGATTATGGCCATCAGGGAAAGGGTATATATTGGGGATACATCAAATCTACCAAAAACAGGCTATAGAATTATCTAAAAGCTATAGCTCTAGTCGAGAATGGGGCACTAAACAGCAGGAAAATATTGCTTTAGTCTGTATTTTTGTCTTCTTTCATCGATGGATATCCCTTTGGTCGAGTTTCCTTTTTTCCTTTCTTTTGTTGTTCTTTTGCTGGCTGCTCGTTGACGAGTCGAAACCACTACTAAAATAATCCATTAAAGATAAACTAAAAGCAAACACTAAACTTTTGTGCTAAGCCAAGAAAAACCGCAGCAACCACACACACCGCACCACACCGCACCACACCACACCCATTCATTCATTCATTCATTCATTCATTCACATTCACATAGAGTAAAGCACACCCACGCACTCATATGTATACCCACTCGGTGGGATTGATAATCAATCATTTATCAATGAGTAAAAGCGCGGCACACGCCTCACTAGAAAAAATTACATAGTGGCATGATGTGGGCGGTGGAAGGGGGCATGGGGCAACATGTGTGTGTGTGTCTGTGTGTGTGTGTACATAAGCTTTTAGTTTGCGTTTAACGCCTCATGGATTCTCTAAAGCGGAAACGGAAGCAAACGAAGGGGGCGTGGGTGGGGAGTCATATGATAGAGTGCATGTCTATATGCCTGGCACGCATTACACGCTTTGGTAAGCCGCAAGCGGCAGCCCTTACCTCATGATAAGAAACTGTCTCTCCCCCTCCTCCACCCCAGAGACCAGACCAGACCAGGCATGTGGCATGGGAATTTCTGCATTGAACAAACCGCAGCTGCCTGCCCTGCCCAGCCCTGCACAGCCCTGCCCTTCCATGAGTTTAATTAATTTTCTAGCATTTTGGAGTTTGATTTGAATCTCGGCGCTCTGTGGCGCTGCTACGTCATCAATTGTGGCCATTGGCAGACGACAGCCCGCGGCTTCCAATGATTAGATTATGGTGGGAAAATCTTCGATTGTAAATGTTGATGGTAGGGAGGGGAGGAGCTATGGAGGGCAACCGCTATATGCGGGTGCAAACATATGCTGCAAATTTATGCAATTTTCCCCAGACGCTAAATTATTGAAAATCAAATGGGAAAAAACATATTTGCTGACTTTTATATATATGCTTAATATTTGCAGGACAACAAGCAGCAGCAGCAATGCGGCGGTGGAGAGACAGCAGACAAATGTGAGGAGCGTCGCGTCACCCATCGTAACACCGAAGAGTGCCGCTGATGGCCGCTAGAAATGTGCTAGAAATGTGCGTTATAAATTTTTACGAGTGTACGCAGCGCATTGAATTTTTACGAGTGTACAGCAGCAGAAGCAGCAGCAGCATGATGTGCTCAGGCGGCGGAGGCAGCAGCAATTTAAAACAATTCAGGCACGAAAATAATGCTTAAAGTAACGCAAAGGAAATTGCATGCTTAGCCATAGAAAAATATATAGCAAAAAAAAAACAAACAACAAAGAAAAATAAAAGGAAAGAGAAAGAGAAAATAAAAAAAGAAGAAAAGCTGTGAAAGAAAGAAACGCCGTGTGGCAGAGAGAGGGTTGCTACAACTCCTTGTGAAAGGAGCACGTGACATTGTGAGAAAACTCCTCTCACACACATACACACGACGCCATTTTGTAACGGTAATTGGCAGACGGCACACACGTGAACCGAAGAAAGGCTAAACGTCCGCTAACACGCCCAAACAACAGTAACAGCAACACCCTCTCCATCATTACGAGCAACAACAACAACAACAAAATCATCATCATCGCCTCATCATTATCATCAGGACGATGGCCGTTAGCAACATTGTCTGCGAATGGCTACGTGCCTTGGGCCTGGCGCAGTATGCCGAAAGTTTTCTCGACAATGGCTACGATGACCTGGAGATATGCAAACAGGTCGGCGATCCCGATCTGGATGCCATCGGCGTTGAGAATCCCTCCCATCGACACAAGCTGCTGAAGAGCATACGCTCGTTGCGGGAGAAGGGCGCCGCCTCGGTATATTTCATGCTCAACGATCCCAATTCGTTGTCGGGCAGCATGGAGATACTGTGCGAAACGCCGCCCAGCAACGACCTGGAGATGGTACTGGGCGAACAGCTGGAGACGGACGGAGTGCGTCTGACAGCGCATCCATATTCAACACCGGTAAGTTTTTTTTTCCACCTTTTTTCCAGCTTTATTCTGTAGATTTAATGAGTGGGTTTTGGGTGTTACTTGACAGGCTAGCAAGCTGCATAACAGCCTTAAATAACCTCCCCATTCAGAGCTCTCTCTGTCTGTCTCTCTTGGGATTTCAAACTCTATGAAACTGTCATGAACAGACCGTGGACGGAGGGCCTCACTGAAGTATCTATTAAATGTATCTGTAGTGGGTTTCCCCACACACACAGCTGGCAAGCAAAAGTTTAGCTACTGCTGAAGCTTTTTATTACAAAATCCAATTGCAAACAAAACCGAAAATTGCACTTTTCCACCCCCCACCCCCTACAACCCACCCACATTCTAACACTTTTCCAACCAAAGTTTAGAGTGCAAGGAGAACAGAAAGAACTCCCTGGCGAAAAACTATTCAATGTCAGTTTACATACTTAAATTAAAATTCTGGACATGCCAAGTGGTTCAAGAGGTGGGTGGGTGGTAGGACTGTCTGTGGGGGTGTCGGTGTCCCAGGGGCAGGTTGCATCGTTGCAAAATGTCAAAGCCGGTCCGATCCTTGGTCCAAGAGTCGTCCCCCCCACTTGACAGTAAAATGGAGAACATTTAAACAGAGAGAGAGAGCGAGGCAAAGCCCTGCCTGCTCGTCTTTCTCCCTGTAACCTGCAACCTGCAACTGGCTACTCTTTCCCTGGGATTCCTTCCTTCCCGTTTCTCTGTAACTCTTGAACCTCCGTTCATGCTTCTCATCCTCCTCCCTGTGTGACCAGTGGCCAGAAAACGGGCTTTTGTTGCTCCCCATGCCCCTGCCACCACCATCGAGTGTCATGTTTGGGGTCTTCTCCATTGTTCTGTACTCTGGGGCGAGTGAGTGCCTGCAGCTCGGGGAGAGGCGGCGGCATCCACCAGGTAGGCGACATATCATGTGTTACCCAAAAGGCACCACCAATGTGGACCCGAAAATGTTTCCGTTTCGATCCGGCTAGCCAAATCCACTTGGGGCGGCATTTAAAAAATACCTTTTGCCTTTTGGGGCTCTTGTTTTGACTTGAATTCTGATTCTCATACTCATTCTGTGTGCGTGTAATTAAAATAATGCCAAAAGAGCAGCCAACTTGGTTGGTTGGATCAACCATTTGATGGAGCTCTTTCGAGGCGGCTGGCCATCCAGCGGAAGTTTGATTTATTATGCAAAAATATTTCGCAGCTTTAAAAATCTAAGAAGAAACCCTTTTGCAGACTTCTCATAGCTTAAGAATTTTGCACATCAATTTTGGGTTTCGTAAATGTGATTTATATACGAGAAAGAAACGATGTGTGGGCATGGCTATGCCTTTTGCCTCATCTCGTCTTTCAGTCTCGAGTCCCGGAGTCTCATCTCATCGGTCTCTTCTCAACATCGTTGGCGGCACAAATCACGTCATTGAGTTGTTTTCATCAAAAGGGCAGGCATGCAGAAAACAGAGACAGAGGGAGAGAGAGACACAGACACAGAGAGAAGAAGAAAAAAAATAGCCGCAACTGCAGCAGTTCCCTTTTTGCTCCCCTGCCATGCCACCATGCCTTCTCCATTTATTTCATTCATGGCTCCTTCTTCTGGTGGCTGGCTGGCTGGCTCCTTCTGGTGGCCGCTGCTCGTTTGTTTTTGGTATATTTTTATCCCAAAAACTATCGTCTCTGGGCCTGACTGGCAGAGCGGCAGCCTGACGACCGACAATCGGGAGACAGGGTAGACAGCAACCGGACAACCGTCGACGTCTTTGCAGTTTTGTATCTGCGTATCTTCAGCGGCTGTGGCATACAATTTTTATTTATTACTCATTCAGCTGCAAAATTGTTCCTTAATTGCCCATATCAGCTGAGAAATGAAATTTATTACCTGGCGTGTGTATATCGCCAGTGTCCAAGTCCTCCTGCCTCTCTCTCTGCCTGCTGTCTGCCTGCCGCATCATTATCAGAGGCCCCTCCGACTTGTGTGTGCCCCACACCACCCTCCACCCTGCAATCTTGAGCCGCAGCATCATCGACATCATTAGTTTTGTGCGCCGTGCCGACAACGTTTTGTATATTTACTTAATATTGCATTGGTCCGAGACGGTACGGTCCAGTCTCAGTCTCAGGTCCAGGTCCAGGTCCAAGTCCACGTCCAGGTCCAGGCCATGACCATTTATCTCAGAGCTGTAGCTGAAGCAGAGAGCAGAAAGCAGAGAGTCCGAGTGGAGACCGACCTTCCTGTGATTTCTGATTTCTTATGCCAATTTACTTGGGGAGATTTCTGAGGCTGAGGCTGCTCTACTTTGTGGCCCATCCCCATGCCCATCATCATCATCATCATCGTCCAAAGCAGAGGGGCATGCAACAAACCGTCGTACTCTCTGTAGCCAGCCATAGATCAAAAGACAGTTTGCTTTAGTTTTCTTCTGCTTCCTCCTTCCTCCCTGCCTCCCTGCCTGCCAGCCTGTCTGTTGTTGTATAATTTTATTTTATGTGCCTTTAGCCTTGACCAGGTCAACAGTGTTTTTGGGGTCGTCCATGTCCGTCTGTGTCTGTTTGTGTTTGTGTTTGTGTGTGTCTTCCTGGAGCTTGACTCTTGGCTTTGCTGACTCTCCCTGCCTGCCCCCCTGCCAACCCGATTGACTGACTGAGCTTAAGTTATTTCTGCGCTTTGGTTTTTATTGATTTGTCCTCTTTGATCTTCTGCCTGAGCTGTGGCATGAATTCATTTTTATGAACTTGACTTTTTGCCTGAGCATTTTCATTTTGGATATTTCGTTGCCCCTTTTTTTCTCTTGCTTGCTGCTCATTTTGCGTAGCGTGGCAAGTAATTGCCGCAGTTCAATTTGTTCATTTTTGCCTACGTGCCATGTGGCTTTATTATTGTATTTTTTTTTTCCCCCAGTTTCACTCATTATGTGGGGCAAAAACGGGGGAATCACAGTGCAACTTGTGCAGCAAATTGCTCAGAATCGAAGTGGATTTATGCCCTTGAAATGCTCTTTGTAGGAGGTTTAAGGAAATATTGGAAATTATGTAAAATAAATGATTTAAAAAATTGCAATTATAATTTGGTTATATCTTTTTATATGTATTTAATATTTCTATTAAATTCATGGTTGATCCTTTTGCTTCTGTGAATTTTTGTTTTGTTTTTTTTTTTGTGTGCTAAAACCTTTTATTAATTTCTTGCTGCTTTCCATTCCATTAATCAAGGCCTCAAAATACACTAGAACTTTTATATAAAGACACAATCGCCTCCATCTTTGACAGATTTCCACTAAATTTCCATTAGCACCGCCCAAAGACCCCCTTCTCAACCCGCTAGCCAATTAATGTTGGGGCGTGGGGTGCTGCGGAAATCTGGCAGCTTGAGTGAGCTTTCTTTCGTTAACCCGCATTTCCTTTTCTCTCTTTCGCTCTATCTAGATCTTTTCGCCTGCATTTACCATCTCAGAGCTAGAAATAAACTTTTTGTCAATGCACTAATTAAGAATTGTTCTTCAATATGCCACCCCGCTATCGCCCCTTTGCCCCAACTTTACCCCAACATCAAAGCAGGCAATTTCCCAGCCCCAGCCCCTAACCCTTATCCTCGTGGAAAAGCCTGGTAGAGGGGGCTTAAAATTTGCATAGCCTTTCCCCTCCATTCATTCAACTTAATCAAGTATTTAACACCAAAAAGTAAAACTGCGAAACCATTCATTGCTCATAAAAAATTAAAGTCTAATTGTACGAGCGGCAGGGGGTGGGCAAACGGACAGCCAACAGCCATGGAAAATGGTGGGTAAATTGCTGCGGTGTAGGGGTTGGGTTGGGTGGGAAAAAGGGAAATCCAAGTCCTGGGCAACATTGTATTTTTTGTTTTGTTTTCCTTTCACACCGCCCCGAAAACGGAATGGCAAAAACCCCTGCTCAAAAAATCGACTCTACAAAAGGAGTCGTCGGTCGGGAGCAGGACCAGGACCCAGCAGCAGGAGCTAACGTGCTGCGGCAGTGTGCTTTTTAATTAATTTAATTGCAATTTAATTACGCTTGCTATTTAATTAAACACATTGAACAAGCGAATAAGTTAGAGAGAGAGTGAGCGAGAGCGAGAGCGTCCTGCTAGAGGGTCCTGCCTCGAAACGTTCAATGAAGCATGTGGAAGCGCTTGCCCCCGAAAAATTTGTGAGTGGATATAGTTTTTTGTGGCTCAATTATAACTGCCCCAAAAGTTGAATTGATTTGAAGTGGAACCAAGGTGTTTGCTTTGGGAGTTTTTATTTGGATTGGCCATGGATTGGATACGTTATAGATACGGGATACACAGCCCCAGAAAATAAGCACTGAGCAGTGAATATTTACACGTAGAGTTGAGTACTTATACCAAAAGAAATGCAGGGAGCAAAAGAATTTGAATTTAAATATATTTCATATCTAAAAAATATATTTATTCTATATTTAAATTAAATATATTTCATATTTAAAAAATAAATTTATTTTATATTTAAATATTTAATTTAAATATATTTCATGTTTAAAAATAAATATATGTTATATTTAAATATTGAAAATATTTAATTTAAATATATTTATTATCTTTAAAAAATGTATATATTTTATATTTAAATTAAATATATTTTTTTGGGTGTAATGTTTGCTTCCATTTTGATAACAAACAGAATGTACATTGTAGCGAACAATTGGCTCTATCAACTATCTAATCTATCTATCCTTTGGCTTCTTATTTTTCTGCTTTTTCTTTTGCTGTTTCTGTTTCTGTTTTGCTTTCTCTTTTGAGCAGCCAAAAGGTGTTGGTTGTTGGTTGCTTCCTGCATCGTGTGATGTGCTCCCCATAGGCAAAGATAATTTGCAGGCTCCGTTGATAATTGACGATTAATTTAATAGAATGCCCAAGTTGGGAGTTGTTTCACTCCCGACTACGACTACGATTGGGACTGGGACTGGGACTGAGACCGCAACTCCTTCTCTGACTCTGACTTGGACTTGGACTC